CAGATAGTGTAATAAGAGAAAGTTGAAAAAAATGAAATCAAGTTTAATCAAAGAAAATTAGCCGTTAAAAAAAAAAAGAATTGCGTTACCAGGGAATTGCGTTACCAGGGAATTGAAAAAAAAGGGAACTTTGACAACGAGTACGAGACTAAGTACGAGTAAAAAAACCTGTGAATGGTATTCTTATGTTAACGTAGTGAACACTAAAAAAAGGAAGCTTCGATTCAGCACTTGGTACTAACAGTGAATTAAAAAAATCCAGTGGGCTAACATTGATTATCATGAGGTTAGAAGMAAAAAAAGATCGGTGTAATGGGCACATCTCAAATAAAATCTACAAAAAAAAAATATTTTTTAAGTAATATTCTTGAAGAAGCATGCTATGAAAAAAATCAGAAAGTTAGCCCAGTGGACAATAATTAATAAAAAGAAAAAAAATTAAAATCTGTGGAGTTGAAAAGGATTTAGAGCTCGTAAAAAAAATCAAAATGCAGCAAGATTACCATGAAGAAATATCACCAAAAAAATAATGTGTAAAAAATATTAATTTTTATTTCATAACTGAAAAAAAACAGTAATTTGCAAAAAAGCACCAACATACAGTCATTTGAAAAAAATTGTTTTAGCGGTTTATCTCTACACTCCTAGTCCGAAAAGGATCATGGGGATAAATAATTCAATTAATATAACTGCTGCATATAAAAAAAAACACGTCTTGAGCTGTCTGTTTTAGATCCAATTTAAGAAAAAAAAACCATGCCTCCGGCATACATAGAGGAAATTACACGGTGGCGCGAAGATATGAATTTTATTTTCGATAGGTAAAAACAATATTAAAAAAATGAGCGCAGCTTTTTATTATATTGGACAAACTAAAGCAAAAAAAATTAATAATTTTTATATAGGAAAATTATTTTCACTGTTTAAAAAAACCTCTTATTGGACGATTCGGTGTCACGTGTCCGAAGCTAAAAAAAACTTTTGACTGACTGGTCAACAGTTTGGCGATTGCTGAAAAAAAAGCGGGAAAAGGCCGGCTCGCGTCGAGTGAAAGTTTGTAAAAAAAAGAAATGGTTCTTCTACGTCATCAGCCCGAGRGATCATGAAAAAAAGCAGAACTCGTWGGCCGCCCAACTATTGTTTGAGAGAAAAAAAAAAASGAATGCGCACGCTTTTTACGCTTTTACTGCTCCTTAAAAAAAGACCGGTGTTTCATACCTTGTCACAGACTAGTTTTTGAAAAAAAAAGGTAAGGGATCATTGACGTAATACCACAGGTAACCCGAAAAAAACTAAGAGCGCTCGCAGATACCAGCGTAAGAAGGAGTAGAAAAAAAGTTAATAAAAAGCGTGCGCATTTGTTGTTTTCATTCTCAAAAAAAATAGTTGGGCGACCTATGAACGCATGCGTACTTCAGGTAAAAAAACGCTATGGCGTATTTCAACGAGCTCTGTCGTGTTTCTTCAATAACGAACTTTCTTTGTCTAGTATACTAGATCTTATTCATGCAAAAAAAAAGCTCTAAGAATTTTCTTTGCTTGTAAAGTGAAGTCAAAAAAAATACTCCAGTATTTCTGTGGAAAACAAAGTGTTTTCTGGAAAAAAAATGGGCTCGAGATAAGCACACAAAGCGCCGGATTGTCAAAAAAAAAGTCACTTCAATCGCTATTGCTTGTTGACCATGCCTCAAAACAGCACCAAAGGGCGCTCAGAGAGGAAAGAAAAACCTTACCCAAAAAAAGGCGGAAGTTTCCGTGACTAAAGAAGCGCCAAAGCAGTCTAAAACGACAAGCCATCAAGTAGCCCGCACTGTCGCTGACAGTGAAAAAAATACGCAGGGTACTAGTAGCGAGCTAATAAAATTTGGAGAAAAAAAATCAGATTCCATAAGAGAACTGAAAGACCATGGCTGAAAAAAAAACACAACTTCATCAGTCATTGACCGCTGAGCAATATGACGATGAAGGAGAGGATGGCGACCTTCTGGCCTCTGATCCAGAGTCTAAAAAAAAGCCACCAAACAAGCACGAGAAACCTCAGACGATAAAAAAAAAAAGTTGAGTGAGTCCAAATGCAAACGTAAAGTGCTTACTTAAAAAAATGAAAAACTTCAAATGCAGGAAAAAAATTGACTCTGACAAAAAAACACAGAGAAAACAAGAAACAAAAGAAACAACACGCAAGAAAAAAAAGGCTAACCGAAGAAGATCTCGCGAAAAATAACTTCGAAAAAAAAGAAAAACGGAAAAAAAGTACCGGGGATGGAGGTCTCGCAAAAAAAAACAAGACATGCCCACATGCCATTCAATGGGAAAAAAGAAAAAAAATTAGACAGGAATCCCACAACGACAAAAGAAAAGTCTTAAAAAAACTTGAGAGCATAAAGGCAGTGTGTACAATAACAAAAAGAAAAAAAACAACCTCTGGTGAATGCAWKCCGTAGAGAGTGTATAAAAAAAAAATCGTTGACAAAATCCTTGGACCATTCCAGCGAACTTCAAAAAAATAAGCAACACCCGCAGACAATTTCATCCCCCCTGACCCAAAAAAAGCAATGTTGTCATTGATCATGTTACCATAGTACACAAGAAAAAAAAACAAGACCCAACATTGATGAACGGGGGCTACGGGGGAAAAAAAAAAAAATAATGGAGAAAAATGTTAGGCTGGAGACATATCAAAAAAAGGTCCAAGGTATTTTGGCAACGATTGTAGATTTAAATTAAAAAAACACTTTACTGTTCTCTGCATCAGTGCTAATCAACGAATAAAAAAATGTAGGAGACACGTCCAAACGTTCGGAGGAAATTGACAAAAAAAACAAGGTAGTGAAAAAGGCAATGGGTCAAAGCTCATACTAAAAAAATCGGCAGTTAAAGTACTAATAGTTTTAATTATAAGAACAAAAAAAGGAACCAGAGGTCATATTCAAAAAGGAACAATTACTCAAAAAAAATTTTTAGGGAAAAAGAAGAACGCAGAACATTGTAAGAAAAAAAAAAGCTCCTATAACCTTACTGTTCAGCCTGGGCTGGAACATAGTAGAGGAAAAGAACCTCTCCCGGCACTCAACACATCCACTGCAAAAAAATGGTGGGCGTGAATAAAATGAATACACAGTTATAGCATAAAAAAAAGCGTCAGCATACAAATCTTGAGTTTGTTCAGGAATGCAAAAAAATATGAAGTCCTTCCCACTTCCCGCCGGACATACGTAGAAAAAAAAAACGTAACTACAATCTCCCTCCCTAGTGTGACAAAGTTAAAAAAATCCCGGACCAAAAAACGGTGTCGTGATAAGCACAACTAAAAAAAAAACGGCCTCATCTGGGCGCACCAAGAATTGTTGGTCTCTTCAGGACAACCACACAAAATATCCTCTACTAACCACGTGTCGAAAAGCAAAAAATAGCGTAGAGTTCGCCTCACCAGGGCGTAAGAATGTTAGGTCTCTCCCGGACCAAAACAAAATAGCCTCACCTGGGCGCTACTAACCACGTGTCGAAAAAAAAAAAATAGCGTAGAGTTCGCCTCACCAGGGCGTAAGAATGAAAAAAATCTCCCGGACCAAAACAAAATAGCCTCACCTGGGCGTAAAAAAAATTGTTGGTCTCTCCAGGACAACAACACAAAATATCCTCAAAAAAACACATGCCGGAAAGACAAAAATGGCGTAGAGTTCGCCTAAAAAAAGCGTAAGAATGTTAGGCCTCTCCCGGACCAAAACAAAAAAAAAAAACCTGGGCGTACTACAAGTTGTTGGTCTCTCCAGGACAAAAAAAAAAAATATTCTCTAGTAACCACATGTCGGAAAGACAAAAAAAAAAAAGAGTTCGCCTCACCAGGGCGTAAGAATGTTAGGCCTCAAAAAAACCAAACAGTGTCACGGTAAGCACTGTTATAATAAACCTAAATAATGGCCTGACCTAGGCGTACGGCGAATTGTTGTTCTCTCCAAAAAAACGACAACGAAACCTGACGATAAGTCACTTTAACGACGGAAAAAAAACACTTTTACGTTGTCTACCGTATAGAAATTAAAAAAAAAAAAAATTCTCCTCCATTTGTGGCTGAGCTAGCTCAGCCTGTTCAAAAAAAACAGGTCCTAGAACGGGAGCTTGCTCTATTCTGTGGTTAAAAAAAACCACGTGCTGGAGGTTAACGAGTTGGTGGTTCACGAAAAAAAAAGGCTTGCGGCGGAGATAAAGTTTGTTGTTTCGCCCCGTAAAAAAAGTCTTGAGGAGCCAGGACTCTTTGCCGTTGTTGAGCAGGAGGTGGTTGGGAGGACATGGCGTGTTGGTCTTGCAAGAACCGTAAAAAAAAAGTATGTGTCCGTGGTTTGAATCGGAATGAACAAAGCGAAAAAAACACGCYHATKTATACACTGCAAGGCATTGTGGGATATCAAAAAAAATGCTAATTTCATGCTTTATTTCCGGTAGTGAAAATAGAAAAAAAATCCTTTCGAGCAAAGTGATAAAACTGATCAATGACAAAAAAAAATGACTCTATATCATTAAGTTATATTTGCTACATCATTGAAAAAAACACGTATTTTCATTACAATATCTTCACATAAAAAGATAAAAAAAATATATAAATTGAGCACTCTTTTTCCAAGAGCAGCCATNNNTACACAATTTTCATCACCAGAGAAGCAAGGTTAGAAACACGAGCATAGCGAATGTTTCTCTTGCTTCTCGAGTGCTTTCCAACCTCCACCGTGTTTATATCAGAGGACAGAGACGCAAGCGGCCGTTTTATAGTTCTTTTATTAAATTTTTCTGCATTTCTCAAGCGAAAAACAAATTTTGCCGGTAAGCCGTATCTATGTCCTCTGATATAAACACGGTCGTCAGCCAATCATTTATTTAAAATTTATAAGCTAGCCACMAGAATTTTTATATGTATATTCACATAATTCTGAATGTAGCTGCATGACCCTGAAACAGACAAATATGGTATACTCACTTCATTATCAAATACTTTAGTGAAATTAAACTTGGATTCATCAAATGGTTGTGCAACACTGGTCATTTGTTGGGGTTTTCTACGATCAGCAAACCTTTTCTCATTTAACTGAAGAATAACCTTGAATTTTCCAGGTAGTAATTTAGTCTGGAGGTCATCTAATGTGTACCTGAAACAACCACTTGCCATGGCATTGTTCCATTTGGACCTTAATGTTTGATCAAACTATAAATAAAAAAAAACATAATGACAGTTATATATATTGCATCTAGGAATGTTCATCGTAATGAATTATTAATAAYAATAACAACAACAACTACAACAATAACATTAGTAACTAGGGAAAAATTGATATCAATTTGCCTTTGCAGCTGGGAAACACATACAAGTAACCATCTAACCTACCTTAAATAAATCTGACTGCTAAATTAGAAAGAAAAGATGGGCAAAATTTTCGAAAMAATTTATCAGAATGCCAGAGGCTGCATCTGGATTTTTGAAAATTCACATATATTTCTTTGTAAAAACAAGAATTTTTTAATTGAGGTTCTTATTTAAAGTCAAACTTTCATTCCATATAAGTCTTATATTTCAATTTTGCAAATTAAGGGRCTTGTACCAAGTATCCCATGTATGAAATTAATTAATACAGCTGAACCAAAATTGCTGTTATGTTTGTCTGCAAATCAGCAACAAATATTTTGTTCTGTGTACTGGGAGATACATGTATGCACTTCACTATAATTATTGACTGTTTATCTTTAATTCTAACAAGCACAGAGCAAACTCGCTCTGGTTTGACTCAAAACAGAAAACAACAAAATGGCAGTCAGGGCAAGTTTGCTTCAACAGCCTGAATCAACAGTCAAAATGGAGACTCTTGAGCTTGTCTCTTACTTTCAAACTTCCTCACCTTCACCTGAAACCTTTTCTGAAAAATTTGACAGTATTTGGACAACAGGGTGTACAGTTTTGTTCCGTAAACACATTCAATCACACTGAGAAAAAAGCTGAAAAAGCCCAAAACATAAAAGACAAATATTGAAATAGGCCCTGRCCTGGCACAAGTTCACTGTACAGTAGTCAATGAGCATACTCAATAGAATTCAAAACGAAACAGCCAATAAAAATAAAATAAATATATGCGGGTACAYAGAACATGTTACTGTATTTTTGATTCAGCTGTATGCAATCTAGGAGAACAGGCTTTGCAATTCACCTAAAAAATACGAAATGGCCAMATTTCTCACTGTACTCTGATATTGAACACAGTGAAAGATGACAAGAACAACAACAGTAAATTTAGGACCATGAGTATAGCATGGCTTGTTTCTTTCTCGAGTGCCTTTACAGTAATAAAAGTGTGAGCTATATACTTAATAATTCTATAACTTCGCATATCATGAATTAAATAACTTAGTATTTAAATTACACATCCATTTATGCAGTCATTCCATTTCTGGACAACATGCTAAGGTAGCTGTGACCTAATATGTATGTTGCCCATASTTTACGAGCTGCTTACACTTGCATGCTTGGCAAATGTTCAACTCATTATGGATAAAAAAATCTAACTTGATTTCCAAAAAAAATTTCTTTTTTTTTAAATCTAACTAGATTTCTGATTGGTTTTTAAAGTAGACACAAAGGCAGCTAGAAGTGAAAACTATGAGGGATCATGACTGTCCCATGCAGTCTACTTATCCCCATATTATACATAATATACTAGGTTATTCCTAGCCATCCCCACATGAAACTCTTAATTTTCCTACTGATTCCTTTGTAACATTTGGTCATATTGACAATCAGGGACTAGAGGCTTGCTGTCATTCTCCCTCTTCTGGCTCCCTGCAAAAAGACAGGAATCCTGTGCCTCATAATAGTACCTCCTGCTGAGGAGGCCAGGCTAGTCCTTGTTCAGTAACTAACTTTCTCGTCAGTACTTACTTTGGAAAGCTGAAAGTTATTGGCTCCTACGCTCCATGAGTTGCATGTTAGAACAAAGTCTTGCTGATCATATGAATATTGTTCAGCTAAATAAGGCTTGTCGCACTCATTGTTCTCCTGGTCATTAAAGTAAGAGTTGAAATTTCCATTAACAAGAATACTTAAATACATTTCATTATAAGTTTTTTTTAAGCGTTTGGGCTGTAGCCTAGTTAAATATACTTATCACAATATCAAGCAATAGAATCAATACTTTTTAACAACATCAAATCACAGTTTGTATGACATATATTTTAGAGTACATTTTACGTAACTGCCAATATTCTCTGAAACTACAACCTCTAGGCTCAAGATTAAAGCGTGAAATCTCACCATGTTCCTTGGAAACGGACAAAAAATCAAGGTTCTCCACGTAACATATTATAGTTCAGACTTTGACGATTTGTGGCATCCAATCTATTTGCTGACATTAAGTTCAAGGGTAGTTCTTAGTATGGATTCAGTTCAACCGCCTGACTTGACTTGTTCAACCACCTTACCTGCCATTATTAGATCTCTAAGGATGCCAATCACATCTACAGCCTATAGGCGTACTRGCTGTCTCTACTGTTTTTAGTGAAACCTATCATAAACTTTGGAACAAACGCTACCCCTCTCCTGGCTACCCCTGAAGAAGTTGGTGGAAATCAGCCCAATAATTCATAAACCTCACTGCAAACTTCTCGAAGACTAAATGCAAGCAATTAGATTAGAAGCGTCAAAATATCGACTTGGAGTGGGGCCTAAATATTGAGGATCTGGCGTTGACAGCCATGTATCTTAGAAGCTACCCACCAGTTTATCTGTGTACTTTTTGTCCGCCATCTTGTCCGTTGTTATACCCCGACCCAGCTTTCTCTTTCTTGTCACAAAACAGGTAGTCCACGATTTACGCATACTGAATTCTAATTGGCTAGTCAACAACATGGATCTACTCTACTCTGATCTAA